CATTTTTTTCTCTTTCTGACCTTTGATGCTCTTGTAAGGAAGTCTTGGGCGAAGATGTCTGATCAGCTAAGACAGACGTGGTTATTTTGGTCTTCTTTTTAAATGTAATTGATTGCCTATCCTCACTTCCATTTTCTTCTGCATGCAGTTGCTTAGTAGCTGTCACCTTTGCTTTCAGTCTAGGTAACCATTCCATGCTGACTGGTTCACATTACTTCTGATGCACAGTGCAAGTTCATCACCTTTTCAGGATATCTCGTGATTGATTCCTTATGCCTCGTGGAGACCTGCACTATATTTGTGGCTGAAAAGAAGTCGCTTGAGGAGATCTGAGATCTAGTTCTCAGTGGTCTCTGTGCATTGCATTACTTTTATCGTTGCTTAGGGCCATTCGCTTGTACATTAGACTCTGATGTTTATTAAATGTAGTAAAATTAGTTAAACGCAGGGTGTTGCTGGCTGGGTAAATCCCTGCAGCAAAAGTCCCGATGCAGTGAGAATGAGATAACCATACACCACGCTGCGTGGCTTTGCTACACATCAAAAGCCTTATATCCTGTGCCTCGTATATTAGCTCCGCATTGCACATATGGAGTGTTGCATGTTAGTCTTTTTGACTATGAAAAATAAGGGCCTGGTCGTGCCCATGGATTGCAATAGAAACAATATTGGGCTTTAAGGGTTTTGTGGTTTGTTTTTTAAGGCGTTTCTTGGAAATCTTCTGTATCCGAAAAACACTTATGTGGAATATGCACTGCTGTCTGGCTTTTATGTACCAAAAAACTGGTGGGCTGCACCTGTTATTCTCCACTAAGGGTCTCTCTCAAAGGTTTCTCAACTCCACAAGAGCTGCTTTTCAGGGGTTGTCTTGCACCAGTTCAGTTAAACTAGTTATATCACCGTATAGTTTCTTCAAGCTCCTTTTTTACTAACTTGTATGCCCCTTGCACCTAGCTTTTCCTCCTGCAGCTTAAAAACAAAACGAGGATGTAAAAATCTACCAGTCCCCAAAGGAGTCAGGAAGGTGTGTTTTATGCTGATTTTTGGTTCCCAGCTGACTTCTGAGTTTAATTAAAAAAATTCTTCTGTCTGAGAGAGAGGGTATATTGGCACTGCAGTCATACTGCAGATATAAAGCACTGGCTCAGGCACTGGGCCCAGAACCTGGACTGCCTGGATATTTAGCCATCTTATCAGGCATGTTTTGAAGCCTGTGCCCCGTTTAGTTTAGTTTCATTGCTGCGGGCTAGCTCAGCTGTGCCTCCGCTACACTGCAGCGAAGGACACGTTTTAACCTGAAGCTGCCTGGCATAGGCAATTACCGGCATGGCCCTTGATTCTCGTACGAGAGGTTCACCCTGTGATTTATTTGCATGCCTTTTCATTTTGTCCTATGTCTCCTGATTCTCCTTTCTTTTTTATTTTAAATGTTGAACCTGTCGGTGATGGGGAGAGAAGCCATCTCTAATCCTTGCTCTCCGCCCCAACAGATGGCCAGGGTTGTGCTTTCCCGTCCGTTTGCAAGCACCGTTAGGGCTTCATCCAGCAATAGGCTTATCCCCTTGGTTTGTAATGAATTCACGCTCCCCCACGTCATGGATGGTGCCCAGCACCGCCTGCCGTCAGGCCCCGACTGTCTCAAATTGTGCTTTCTGGCCGTTCAAACAGTGCTGGGGAGCCCTGATTGGCTGCTGCGGAGGTGACTTTTCCTTCGGCTGGAATGTTCCACTATAACCGACCCACCAGGGGAGTTCTCGTCTTCAAAAGAGACATTCTTTCTATACAAGCTGCAAAAAGAATTATTTAATGACATCATAAATTAATACAGAGAGGCACAAATTTTCCAAAATGTGGAGAGACAAAAAACAGCATTTGCCAAAAAACACCCCCGCTCTTCCAGACTCCGGCCTCTCTGGGGCCTGCAGGCTGCCAACGATACCAAATTCGACGGTAGGGAGGAGGGACGGGGGCTTGCATGGATTAATTTTAGCTTGTTTAACTTCTGGCGCGTATTAGTATTAGTCACATACTCAGCGAACTGCGGCAAATATTTGTTCTATGTAAAGTAAAAGCCAAATTCAACGTTGGCATGAGCCAGTAGCGAAGTAGTAGAACTGAGCCCACTTGTGCCAATGGTGCATTTGGACTCGCTACCTTTTTAAAAAAAAAAAGAAAAAATTAAAAAAAAAAGAATTTTTATGTGGAGATTATTAACATATCAATGGAAAACAGCCCCTGCCCCTTTCCAGCTTTTCTTCCCCTGGTTTTTTCTTTTATTTTTTGGCCTTAATGTAATTTGAAATCCCTGCACTTGGATTGTGGAGCCCTGTTACGACTGTGGGGTCAGCATGAGGACTGAGAAACCCCTTCCACAAGTGAGGTGCCTTTCCTTCTTGATGAGAAATAGCTGTTTAAATTGCAGAAAATAAGTATTAGACGGCAGTAAGTGAGCTTATTTTAATACTGTGTCATCACAGGACAGATATTAAGACGTGTTTGGAAAAAAGCCACCTTTTCTCCCCTCCCGAAATAGTGAAGCCTGGACTCTACAGCTCTTTGGAGTCTCCAGCCCCAGGTTAGACATGTAGCGTCCCAGGCATGACATGGAAGCAGTCAAGACCCAGAGGCAAGGCTTGCCAGACCCCTTCAAGCCAAGCTGGGGCCATCTCAGGTAGCCAGGATTGAAATGCAGAGCAAGGGACTGAAGCTGTGGGGCATTACCTGATCAGCGATGCATGCCTCCCTCTTGCTCACGGAGGCTGGCAGCCTGCTAGGTCAGACACTTTTTTCATGAAAAAACACAAAGGTCCAAGCCTGTCCCTTCCCAGCCAGTTGTCCAGTGGGTAGGGCACTCAGCTGAAGATGTGGGTTTAGGTTTGAGTCAATCTTGAGCTACAATCTCTGAGCAGCGTGCTAGCTAGGAGCTGATACTTAGAGCTAAAAACAGAGGACTGGTTTAATTCCAGGACAAAGACTTTTATGCTAGGATCCTGCAGATGTACCAGCTCATTGTCCCACTTTAAGTACCCGTGAAGGATCTGAATTAATACTGTGCCCCAGGAAAACCAAGGCTCATTTGAGTTCATTGCCATTCGCCCTGTGTCTCTAAACCATTTTGATGCCACAGTCAGTAAAGCGGTCATCTGTCCAGTTGTCTAATTTTAGCCTGTGTGAATGCTGACCAGTGGAAACTGGCACCTATGATGTTAGGTGGCAGCTCATGAGTAACATGGAAAGTATCAGGGATGCCGCAGCAGTGAACTCAGGCACCTAAGTAAGTACTTCAGAGGATCTGGACCTAATGCTGAGCATTCAAAGTATTAGGGCAAGGGGAGGAGTGGTGCATGCAAATGCACTTGCTAACTCCATAGTTTGCTTAATAGGTTGTGTTGGTAACTCCTCTAGAGTATTTTGTAAGAGGAAGAAACAAGGCATGACATTGGATTTTTTTTTTCTGGAGATTTCTCACGGTCTCCAGTAGGTGTCTTATGTATTTATGCTCCTAAACACTCAGTCGGGAAGCATTGTCCCCATAAGATGCTCATTCTTCAGTACTGTTGGACTTTTAAACCCCAAGTTAATATCCCTAAGGTTGCCGACACAATAGGACACTTTTGGGTTAACTAAGAAACCGTGCAGCTTCCAGAAATTATGTTAAAACCTGTTTTTAAAAAAATAAATCAACCCATATGCATAGTGCCCACCAGGAGGCATGGAGCTGGTTAAACCTAGAAATAGGAAGAGTCTCTGTCTTTAAAGAATGCAAAAAGCCATATTTGTAAAACAGGCAAAACAGCTCAGAATAGATGGGCAGAAGTGGGCTTGCGGTCCCATAAATTTTAGGAAGTGGTGGCAGCACCAGTCTCGTCTAGTGTTGACGCAGCGTCACTATGACAAATGGAAACGCACACTTCAGCTTACAGCCTGTGACATCTGGGCACCTTCGCTACCTCTTTTTGCCTCCTTAAGTCTGGAGAGGTTTATAACTGATGTTTAAAGAGATAATGCAGCATCATTTTGGGATTTTCACACAACCTTTAGAGTACTGAATTCACCCCTTCCCCAGTCACATGGCTGCTTTGCACCATTAGTCTATAAAAAGGCTTTGTTTCTAGAAATGGTGTCAATTTAAAAAAAAACAAAACACTTAACCATGAAATAGATGCTTCAAATAAGATGGAGGGGCTGTAGCCTGTTAAAGGTCAAGAACGCATGCTAGGCAAGTAAGATTTATGCAACTAGAGAGGGGAGAGAGATGGGAAGATCAGACGTCCAGTGATTCATCACAGAACATTTTATGCTAATTATTGAAATGCACCCAGAGACAGTTTATAGTAGTAAAAGGCTTTATGTTCTGATATGTAAAATAAAATGTTCATGCTATGTAACAAACATTTAAAAATTCCACACCACCTGTATCTAATGTGGTTTCTAATAAAGATTTATCTGTAGTATATATGTTTTTATCTAACCATTCTTAGTTTTTACATCAGAAGTGTGTAATAAAAAAAATCTTAAATAGATGTCTTTCCAAAAAAAAAAAAAAAAAAA